TATTTGAATGCATTCTTCATTGAGATTCTTCCTTCTATTAGCACATATGGAAGGCACCATTACTTCTTTCTGGGTTCTTTTGCTTGTTCTGATTCTCTCCTCTGGGTTCCTCCACCTTGAAACCGTTAAATTTGGTCTGTGCAGTGACACTTATAATGTCAGTTGCATTGCAGGGGAAAGAAATGCTCTTCTCAACCTCAAACAAGGCCTCACAGATCCCTCAGGTAGGCTGTCCTCTTGGACAGGTGAAAATTGCTGTAGCTGGGCTGGAGTGCGGTGCAAAGACCAGAGTGGACATGTCACCAAGCTCAAACTACGTAACACATACTCAAGCAGTCCTGATGTTGATGGAACAGCATATGCATTAGGCGGTGAGATACATCCTTCTTTGCTTCATTTGAAATATTTGAGGTACTTAGACTTGAGCATGAACAACTTTGGAGGAATCACAATTCCTAACTTCATTGGATCACTTAAGACATTGAGATATCTCAATCTCTCAGGTGCATCCTTTGGAGGAAATATTCCTCCACATTTAGGAAACCTCACCCACCTGCACTATCTTGATCTTAGTGTTAGTTTTGGCTCGTCAATTGAGAGTGAACTGCACTGGCTACCAGGTTTATCTTCTTTGAAGTACCTGAATTTGGGTGGTGTTGACCTGGGAAAGACAGAAAATTACTGGCTGCAAACTGTTAACATGCTTCCCTCACTTGTTGAGTTGCACTTGCCTACTTGTGGTCTTTCAACTCTTCCTCTCTCTCTTCCCCTTGTTAACCTTTCCTCTTTGTTTGTCATTGATCTTTCCCAAAATGGATTCAACTCCTCAATACCTCCTTGGCTTTTCAACATTAGCCAACTTGTGTATCTTGATCTCAGATCTAACAATCTCAGAGGCATAATTCCTGATGGCTTTGCCAGCCTAAACCTCCTTCAACACCTTCACTTGTCTGAGAATTCATTTATCCAAGGCAAGCTATCGAGAAAGAATCTAGGAAGCCTCTGCAATTTGCGTGTTCTTGATCTGTCTGTCAATCAAATTAGTGGTGACCTAGCTGAATTCACTGATTCTTTGTCTAAATGCAAAAACTGTAGCTTGGAGTCATTGCATTTGGGTTACAATGAACTGGGTGGCTTTCTTCCTGGTTCCCTGGGAAACTTAAGAAACCTAAAACGTCTTTCACTCATGAACAACCCTTTTGTTGGTTCAATTCCAGAATCTATTGGAAATTTGTCTTCCCTACAGGAATTCTATCTCTCAGAAAATGGAATGAAAGGAACAATTCCAGCCAGCCTTGGACAACTCTCATCATTAGTTTACCTAGATATAAAAGGTAATCAGTGGGAGGGAGTCCTAACACAAGCTCATTTTTCTAATCTCACAAGCTTAAAGGAGCTATCCATTGTCCAAGCCTACAAGAATATCACCTTGATTTTCAATGTGAGTTCTGACTGGATTCCTCCTTTTAAACTTAGATACCTCAACCTCAAATCATGCCAAGTAGGCCCTGAATTTCCTCCATGGTTAAGAAATCAAAATGAGTTAAACTCCGTATCTGTCTGGAATGCTAGGATCTCAGGCACCATACCAGAGTGGTTTTGGAAGTTAGATTTGGTTCTGAATGATCTGGACTTCAGTAACAATCAATTAACTGCTACAGTGCCAAACACTATAAAGTTCAACCCCTCGGCTACAGTTTTCTTGAACTCTAATCACTTCACAGGCCCTTTGCCGGTATTGTCATCAAATGTGAGTTCATTTCATTTAGACAATAATTTGTTTTCTGGAGCAATTCCCGAAGATATTGGCCAAAAAATGCCTAATTTGACTGATTTTGATATCTCTTACAACTCTCTAAGTGGTTCTATTCCATTGTCCATTAGAAAGCTGAATTTCTTGTTCACTTTTGTCATCTCCAATAATCATTTGACTGGCACAATTCCTGACGTCTGGAATGACATACCAG